CCTCGGAAAGCTCTGGTGACTTTTCTGTGCCTTTCAGAAACTGCAGAGGCAGAATGTCAGCGCTGGCTCCAGCCTTGTTTCAGGAAAGCCGGCTGGGCTGTAGAAGTGGATGGGAGCTTGGCTCACACTTGTGTTTCTGCTCCCACAGTTGGGGTGGATGCCGTTGAGTGAAGCCACTTCTACCCTGGAGGCTGAAGCCTGACTCCCCCAAGCAATATACATGGTAAAGGCAAGGCCAGCACCTTTCAGACTTGTACCAGGAATACACAACTGCATGTACTAGTTTTTACAAGTGCCATTTTCATAAGATTCAGATCTTTTGGAGAAGTCTTTATATCTCCTCTTCCTTCTGATTCAATTACATTATTTCCTTCTATCTAACCAAACATCACAGCTTGAGCTGGGACTGCATCGTGGGTCTCCTGCTTGGAGTCCAGCCATGCCAGATGCTTTACAAATCCAAAGGATGTATAAACACATACATTGTCGTTCTGGATCAGATCTCATGTGTGTCCTTAACAAGACCCAGCAGGAGATGTTTCAGAAGAGTGCATAAAAAGGGTGCAGTAGACAGAGAAGTGATAGTCTGCCCTCCCATTCCAGAAAAAGATACCGTTTTATCCCTTGAAGCATGAGTTTGAATAATCCTTCGACAATATTTTGGTATCATCATCAACTATTATAATTGCTCTGGATCATCTTGTCGTTTTTATAAATGCCTGCTCCACTTTTTAACTATGCTGGACTAAAAAAAATTATGTGGCGATGAATTACATAGTTTAGATTTATGCTGTATGTGGTGTTTAGCCCCAAAAGTTTACAAATACACAAAAGAAACCACAAATCCATTTTAGAGAGAGGATTAGGCCGAAATTTTAGTTCTGTGAAAGTGCAGGGATCTAAGAGGATTTGCAGAACGCCGAGATCGATGGGAGGGTAGCACACGTAGGTTGTTAAAAACGGCACTTTCTGCCCGTTCCTGTCTATAGGCTCTGATGCATTTGTAAATCCCCATCCTAAAGATGGGATTGATGTCACCCATCTTCTGCCATCTAAATCTTACCTGTCTCGATTAAACTAATCTTTGGGCTCCGTCTGCAGTCAGCAGGGAGAGATGGATACCACAGGGGAAGATTCTTACCAGAAGACAGCTCAAGGTAGATAAGGGGAATTGCCTTTTGGCAGTACCTCTTGCTGTCGTTGAAACTAGAACAGGGAGAGATCTCGTGTGACAGCAAACTCCATTTCCCTAGCTCAAACGTGAGCTAGTCGAAAGCTTTGTGCCTAACAGATGTTTCCTCAGAAAATCAGAGAGAGAGAGATCCTGCAGCAGCCCTGAGCAGCCCAGTTCAGGGCTTACCGTCCCTACTGTCACATGGAGTTTTGTCGTCACGCCTTCGTTGCTCCTTGCTGTGCTGCAGCTCTGCATCCCCAGTCTGTGGGGAGAGGCGGTGGTTTGCAGCTGCAGCATCCTATGGGGACCAGTTAGAGGTGTTCCTCCAGTCTGGGAGGGGAAAGCACGTCTGGATGGAGTCAAACAGAGGAGATACCCAGTGAAGCAGACCTGCAGAAGCCCTACGTGCTGTTAATTAACCCACATCAATCAATACAGTTCTTTCAGCAGGTGACTAAACTCGTGATTTAGCCCCATGCGTTTCCACATCTAGGTCCAGGCTGACGTAGAGATGTGAACACAAGCACTTTCTAACTTTGAGCTAACGCCATCTTTCTGCCACCCCGTGGTGTCTGAGCATGTCGCTGGAGTTCTGAGCATTTCACATTTTTGCCGTCTGCCTCCTTCATTCCCCGGCTACGTCTCCCTGCTTCTCTCTTCTTCTCTCTCTTCTCTCTTTGCCAAGACAATGGGTCAGAGCCATGATGAGAAGCCAGGGGTCTCCAGTTCTTGTCTGGCGCATGAGCTGCTGAGTGTTGACTACCACCTTTCCCCTCCCTGCCTGGAAGGAGAGATCGATGTCGATGGCTTTGGGAGCCGAGGTTTCTCCCTGAGATGGGCAAGCACAGGGATGGCAGCGGGGCTGAGCGTGTTTCAGCGGTGGAAGGACTAAGTCCAAATGGCCACCAAGAAACTTCCAATCTCTCCATTCCTAGGCCAGAGCTTGGCAGCGTGCACAGGACAATAAATCAGGCAAACAGTGCGGCAGACTCCGTACTATCCTCAGTTGCACCATCAAGGTGAAAATAAGAGGTTCTATATTATTGGTGCATTGTGATATGATGCTGATTATCTGCAGGGCTTCAAGCAGAGAACTATCAGAATAATAGCTCGTTGCTGTGGATTCGCCTTCTACTCCTAATAGACATTTGACCCTTTAGATGCTACGCTGAGTTTCATTTGCTGGAAACCTTAATGTCCCTTCTGAATTTCTTAATATTCTTTGCTTTAAATTGTGCTTTTAGCAGTAGTAGTTGAGTGTATTGCTGAATTTTTGTTTGTGTTTGTCTAGTGGGATAGGTTGTAGTGAAGTGAAATGTGTGGTGTAAGCAAAGAGGAATTGCTGTACACAAACCATAATTTTTGTGTACTTGCTGTTCTGAGTGCTGTGATGAAAGGGATGTGTCACAGCATTTGTATCACATCAGCTGCTATCTTTGTCTCTCTACCTGAAGTATGGCAAAAGGGCCCCTTTCATCTGGGGGATTATGAGGCCATTACGGTAAACAGCACCACCAGGCTGGTTTAACATCGTTGGAGCTTTCATCTTTTGTTCTAAGTTTTGAAGCATTATTTCTCTTGTTCCCTGTCTCATGACTTGATGCTTAGTGAGAGCAGTTCCTTGCCAGAGTTGTTCAGGGAAAATCATTCAACTCGGGAGGGAGAGAGGGAGGGACAAAGGGGCCAGCTGAGTGCTACCCTTTGGTTGATCACAGAATCACAGAATGGTGGGGTTTGGAAGGGACCTCTGTGGGTCACCCAGCCCAACCCCCTGCCCAAGCAGGGTCACCCACAGCAGGCTGCACAGCACTGCGTCCAGGCGGGTCTGGAATATCTCCAGAGAAGGAGACTCCACAGCCTCCCTGGGCAGCCTGGGCCAGGGCTCCGTCACCCTCAGAGGGAAGAAGTTCTTCCTCATCTTCAGCTGGAACTTCCTAAGCTGCAGTGATGATGACCCTAAAGATCTGGATCTCAGTTTTAGCTGCACAGCAGGTTCCTGGACCTGTGCTTCTGCTGCTTTTGCCCGAGCGAAATCTACTTAAGCATGAAACATGACATACTGCCCAGTTTCTTCTCTCTAATCCCAAAACAGAGGTCCATCAACGGATGGATGCACCAGCTGACGAAATATATGAGGTCTGGGACATGAGTAGAGACACACAGTTAGCGGGCAGTGCTGACTTGTTTTCTGTCTGTATTTTTAGCCATGCACCCCGTTTCTTCACCTTTAAGCTGGTTACATGAACCCAGTAATTTATGCTGGGAAGTGTCTGCAGCCTCCCAAGCCAGGAGGAGCTGGAGGAGGGGGCTTTGCTTGTAAACCTCTGCTCACTTAAAGTCCTTCCCCGGCGGGGGGCTGCCTGTTCTCTCTGTGCTAGGACAGGTGTGAATGAAGTGCTTCCCGTTTGTGCGCTCCAGCTTCCAAATGCAGAGAAGGCTCATTCCTCTTGGGTGAACTCCAAATAAGGAAAACCCTTTTTTATAGTTGCCTCTTGTATTTGCCTTTAGTGAGCAGTGTGTATTTCTTTAATATTGAAACAAGCTCCATATAGAAAGCAGAACACACACGATCTGTAATACAGAACAGAGATAATATATCCCTGTAATAATGAGGATAGTGATACGATTTTTGGATGTAACAGTTTTATTTTCTTTCTTTTTTTATTGTCACGTTTGCTGATATTCTTTCCCCAGACTTTCAGTCCTTCAGCTTTATGCCTATGTTTATTTAGTATTGCTGCTTCTCCTGTCCTAGCAATATGTATTTATATATTGGCTCATCGTTGTGCAGTTTAGGTTATGCCTTCAAGCAAAGCCAGAATCTAGCAAGGGTGGATCCCTCGACATAAATGACAGGGGATGTCACACCTTAGATTGTGACTTTAAATTCCAGCGTCTAAGATTAATTGTCCTGCACCATTCCTTCATACTGCTCATTTCTGTTGCTCCCCTTATGTCACATGCAGATATTTCATGGAAAAGAAGGGGGAATGAAATTTAATCACTTGCTTCTCCTTTCTGAGAGCAGCAGCATCTTTCCATTAGCGTGTGCTGCAATGTATTCCAGCTGGTTTGGTGGTCCTGCCCAAAGAAAGCTCCTGCAGCTGGTCATAGGTTATAGGATGGGAATTAGTAGGGACCCAAGTCTGCACCTCTGCCGTGTCTCTGCGAGGAGACGGAGCTGTGGCCACGCTGTCTGCTGGGGCTGTGAGCTGCAGGTCGCACAGCCCATGCAGGGCAAAAAGCATCTGTGCTGGGTTCTTCAGCTTCCCACTGTGCAAGGAGATGTCCCAAGGGAGATGACTCTTCCCGATTCGACAGACCCAACTCAAACTCTACAAATTCGTTTCAGTTGGCAGCCAAGTCCCAAGGAGTTCATAGAGGTGGTGACTGGATTAAGAGGGCTGGTTTTCAAAGGGCAGGATCTGACTTGAAGAGAACAATATACTTTCCGTGCCAAATAAGAAGATTGTTACTAATTCCTTTCTTCCAGGGTTTAAAATCCCGTGTGCTGGCACCTGTCCCATACATTAGACATTACTTCTCGAGCACAGCCGCGGGGTTGTCCACAGATAAATCCTCATCTGCAGTTTGACAGCAAGGCAAAAGGTGATGGCTGAGCGGGGTGCAGAGCAGGGCAAGAAATGTGGTGTCAGGGGGAGCATCAGGATGGGGAGCACCCTTATCAGAGGGCACGTGGTCGTGCCAATAGCACTGTAGCTGAAGTTCTTTGCTCATCTCTCTTGGCTTGAGCATGCTTGTCAGGACTGAGCAGCACCCCAGGCATAGCCCCGCTACACCCTTCTCTTCCCCTTATGTTTTGCAGCATCCCCTTCAATTAAGCTTCTTGTGGATGACCCGATAGTGGTGAACCCTGGAGAAGCGATCACCTTAGTCTGTGTGACGACAGGAGGGGAGCCAGCCCCCAGCCTGACGTGGGTGAGGTCTGCAGGCATCCTGCCCGACAAGACGGTCCTGAACGGCGGCACTCTAACGATACCGGCCATCACGTCAGAGGATGCCGGCACGTACAGTTGCATCGCCAACAACAACGTTGGAAATCCTGCAAAGAAGTCCACCAACATCATCGTGAGAGGTAAGCTGAGCTGGCAAGCCAGCGACCTTTACCTTGACCTACGAATGGACTCCTAATCTGGCATGGTAGCAGTGTTCACAGAGTGGTCTCCTGTGCTTCCAATTGTGTTTCTGGTCATTTCTAATAATGTATGAGATTAATCAGTGCTGGCTTCCAGTCGGCAGTGGCTCTTGTGCTGGGGTCCAGCCTCTTGGCTGGAACAAGGGCAGCGTGGTGCCCCTTTGTACTGTGAAGATGCAGCAGCTCACCCATCCAAACCAGAGATCTCTGAAGCACCCCAGGTCCTTGGGGCACTGCCTGTGCTGATCCCCTGCGCACGCTCTTGCGGCAGTGCCCTCGAGGCAGGGTTGCGTGGAAGAGTTTCCCTCCTCTGGATGCATCCCCAGCTCATGGAGATGTCGTTACCTACTTCACCCTTTTCTTCCTCCTCATCAGCTGAACGCGTTGTTGAAATTAAGGCTCTTGAGCATGCTGTGAATCTGCTGCCATCAGACCACTGCTCCCTGGGAAGGAGATTTAGATCAGTACCTGTGCTTTAATTATACTAAATAGCAGGGTAAATGTCTGTCTTAGATAAAAGTAAGAGAAGAGTGCTTGCAGAACAATTACTGCCAGGCGGAGAGCAGCTCTTCCCTGTTGTTTATCGCTTTCTGGATAACCCCAGGGAAGTGGCCAGTTGGTTTGAAGCAGGAGTTCGATTAGCTGATAGGCACCATCAGACTGGATTAATCTACCTGAACCAAACAGTCCATCTAAAACTAATTTTCTATAATCTAATCTGTGAATGGTAGTGAAACATAAACTCCCACGCTATAGGAACTTTAAATAATAGCATGTGATAAATCATACTCGGGAGAGACTGCTGTATAAAGAGCCAGTGGTGTGAATATTTTATGAGAGCCATAACCCCTGTTCACTCCTTGGGAGAGAGCCTTGCGTCAGCCTTGGTCTGCAGGAGTTTACTGGGAGACGTCCACAGATTTATTTGCAATATTGTATTTCCATTTGAATTTTTGACATTTGGCTTAGGGGTTTTGTTGTCAAGAGGCAAAAGCGGTCTTGTTTCAGGAACACAGCATCGACGTTAATTTGCTGTGATTTGCAATGGCGATGAGGTGGTGAAGGGGAGACGTGAGTGAAACACACACTCGGAATGAGCAAACGGAGAGGAAGGGCTTTGTGTGAAAAGAAATCTCGATATTTTAATTGACCCAGCAGACAGCACTGGAGAGCCCAGAGGAAAAGCCAAAGGCCCTAGCTCCCTGCAGATACAAATTTCATGAGTCATAGCATAATAATAATATGCCCTCACATTTTTATTTATAGAAGACTGTGCCTATGAGATGCCTGGGAGCTGCCAGATGTTGAACAAAATATCAGTAAAGCATCTGAGGTGACTTTTTCCTTTTTTCCTCTCTGCTGTGTGGCCCTGTTAGTTCTGAGCAGGGACCACAACGAGGAACAACCCATCAAATAAATGAAGCACAACTCCCTTCTAGCCCCAATGCATTTCTACCCACGAGGCTTTTCCCCCTTATTATTTCTGTTAAAGGGGAAGAACTGTCGTTTAGGAAAAAAAACTTTGTTCCAGTCTTGGTTGATTTATCTTTGCTAAAAGTAGTGCTGAGTTTAGAAGTGAAACAGGAGAGAAATTTGTATCCGAGTTTTGATTTTACTTTGCAAATAATAATTTGTGTATATATTTTTTAGTATTTTGCCTGTAGCTCATTGCTTCTCTCTGTTTCATCTCTTTGTATATCAGGATTTTCACACAGCAGCTGAGGAAAAAAGAGTATTTACTCAAAATAGCATCTAAGCCTTGCAGGAGAAGCATTTGGTAAATGGAGTTCACATCTTCTGTTAGGTGGACTAGCAATCCCAGGACTAGATGATAATCCCCTGATTTTACCCAGAAAGGAATGTAAAAGCATCATCAGGGCTGAGATGAAATTTGTTCTCTTTAAAATTCCCTGAACTTCATTGTGCATTTATCTGAACGTGCCTTTACTGCACGTGGTTCATTCCATTGATGCTGCCTCACCTTCAGCAGCTCTTGCCTTTTCTCTGGGCATTTTTGTGTCTGTGCGGCTGGCTGCCCAAGGCTGGGGCTCCCCGCCACACAGGACTTCGAACCCATCATTAATGATATCATATGACTGCTACGCATTTAAGAATAATATAAAAAATCTAAAACTAGAGAGGATCCTTCAAAAAGAATCAAATAAAAGCAAGTAAAAGAGCAAGAAAAATAATTTATCTTGTTTGAAAGTCGGGAATTACGTGGATCGATAAGCAATAGAGGCAACAGAGGAGGCTGTGTTTAAAGAGCAGATTCAGTCATCAAGGCACTGATGTGACACCCGGGCGTACCCAGGTCAGCTCTGTGCTGCTCCATCAGTCTTTGCCGAGACCCTTAAAAAATGGGGATAAATATAGAGAAATGGTAAGAGGAGCAGATATGACGGCTTGGGGGAAGATGTGTCACCTGAAAGATGGTGCAAAATGTGCCCATGTGGAAAGGCTGTGTAAAGAGTGTTCTCTGCTTCTCCAGGGTGTAAATATCTAGTGACATGCGTTCTCACTTCTGCAAGGTGTAAATAATTAGATCCCATAATTGCCACGTGTTGCTCGAGGAGTGCTGGGACAGCGGGTGCCACTAATGGTCTCGGTGCGTTGCCTGCCATTTGTTAGCTCCCTGGATTTATCTGCAACCCTCCCGCTCTGTGTAAGCATTTAAGGTGTTCTGTTACTTGATCTCTTCCCCTTCCAGTGAGCGATGGCATGGAAGGAGATGTTTGTTCTTCAAATAAAAATCAGATCAAAGCTGCCATTGCAGTGAGGAACGCATTTAGTCATAACCATCTTTGGGTGGGTTTTGTTTTAGGTTTTTTTTTTTTTTCCCTCTTTCGGCATGTGTAACTTAAAAGGAATTGTAAATCCTTTCAACAAAAACGAGCAGTTAAATGAACGCTGTCAGATAAAGCAAGGTCCTGGAAAGATACCACTTTCTTAAGCAAACTGTAAGCCTCAAACTCTGCTCCTGTTGCCTCTGTTCTGCTGAGCTGCTGTGTTCGTGCCTTCCCCTTTCGGCCGGCAGATAATGTTAATGCGGGCTTTGCTGGGATGATAAAGGGAAATTGTTCCGAGTACCACAGTGCCGTTCCTTAAGAGGCACAGACAGAACACGAGATCTTTCATTTCCTCTGTTTGCTCTGAGCACGAGCTCGCCAGAGGCAAATCAGTGCCCATGTGCTGTTTACCTGGCGAAATCACCACTTCGTGAAAAAGTCTGCGTAATACAGCCATTTTCAAGACCGCTATTATCAGCCTAACTGTACCCAAAGTTATGAAAATGTATTTCATTCCATCAAAGACATTGTCATCCATCAAGGTGTCTTGGGTCAAAACAGAGACAGAAGAAATACTTTCTCATTCCAGCAAATCTGGCTGCTCACTGTTTGTAATTAGGAAAGTTTCTTTCGAAGTATTTTCTTTAGATTAATGAGTTCTTTAAATGATTGCAAGGCTGCTAGCACTTGAGTATTGGTGGGTGTTCTCATCAGTGGCATCTTCGCATCCTGCTCTCAGACTGGTGATTAGAATAGCTTCTCGTAGCGTGTTTCTGGACAAAATCTTTAGGAAGCAGAAGCAGCTCTGAGCGAATATTGACTGCTCTCATTCTGGTAAAACTTGAGGTTTTTCTGCTTCTCTTAAAAAAAGAAAAAAAAGCTCTCTCAAGTAGCAAATCCAACACACCCTCTCTGCTTAAACCAAGAAGTTCCTGACAACCTCCATGCCCGATGTGTGTATTTTTTTGCTGTGCTTGTTTGGAGGATGTTCTGGTTTGTTTTTTTTTACCCGCCTGGACAAGGTCCTCTACAGCCTGCTGTAGGTGACCCTGCTTCGGCAGGAGGGTTGGACTAGATGACCCACAGAGGTCCCTTCCAACCCCGACCATTCTGTGATTCTGACTTTTTCCTGGCAGAGCAAAAAAAAGTTGTTAGGATGCAATGGAAACAATTTGTCAGAAAGTCCCGGATGGGAGACATCTGGTGCACTTCTTTCAGAGTTCTCTCCCACCCAAAATATTTGTGTTAGATTGCTTTCAGCATGAACTGGTCACTATATACCTCTGTTGGTCCCAATTAGAGGAGAATGATAATCAGTCTTCCTGTGGATATTTTGTTAATTAAAACAAGAAGCAAACACAGACACAAACATTTGTGCTAAAATCAAATGCAAAACCTCGTTTACTCACAGCCCTTGGGCCAACACACGTGATGATATGGATACTTCTTGGGGTCCCACACACACGGCTCTGCAGAGAGGACTTGGCATTATTGCCGGGAGCGTGGTAGGACCTCATCTATGATGTGACCCCAGGCTCAGTTCCTTGCCCTGATCTGGCACAGCAAGTTGAACATCCAGCTTATCCCATGTCCTAGGAAACTCTGCTAGCCTGAGGATTTTTTAGACTTTGCTCTTAGAGGTTATTTTACTGCTTTAATGTGCTCTCTTTGATGCGTATTTGGAGAGGGAAGCAAAAGGCATTAGAGAAGTGGTAATATTGGCATTGTAATCCTTAAGATACTACATAAAAGCATGATCATCACAATACCATATTTTGGGTGACAGTTGGAAATGTCAAAAGAGGCAGGAATCAAGATAATCATATGTCTGTGGCTTCTGGAAAATTATACATTTTCAACGTGACTCAAACTGGGTAGTCAGAAATATGAGAGCATGGAAGAACAAATTCTCTAAAGACACGGCGAAAATGGAAATAATATCTCTCTGTAGATACCAGTATGTCAATGAAAAATTAAAGGCTTTTGATGATGAAGGATGTAAGATGTATCCTCCATCCAGCAATAGATCAAAAATGCTAGGTAGCATATCTGAAGGGCACCTGTGCATCAGACTGGGAAACAGGTAGAGCCAGAGAAATATTTTACATGTCTGAAAGAACTGAGCACTGAAATGGTTTGGAAGGGTGTCTG